GAAATGTGCTCTATGGGACTATTTCGAAAATTGAAGCAGATCATATTATTGTTTGGCAGTTCATTCGATCGTCGAGACTACCCTGAATATGGGGTATGTGAGGTGATCCAGAAAAGCCTAATTGCATGCACAAATTGCTTTTTGGGCACAGAAGTTTGAGCAGACGAATTCCTACCGCTTCAATACCGGGGGAAATGTCTGGGGCACCTTCTGTGATTTGTTTCCAGTAGGTGTGAAACCACCGTACCCATGAGTGACAATCGCCTAACCGTGCGGTCTATGTTCGTTGTTCCACAATAACAAATAATTGTTCAGTTCAGTTCTTACAACCATTAGCCATGCACTTTCGTGCGCCGGTTTTGGTTGCGTATTTAGATAAAACAGCAGAATGGTGATTGGAATGTTGAGTGCAGATTCAAGCGGAAGATAACACCTTTACATGAACTGAAGTTGCAAGGATAATGAGTAAATGCATGAGCGCCACTGTTTGCAACACCCAGCCATATCACTCTGTGTCCCTGACGATCGGTGATGTTCATCTCGGGGTCCCCAGCCATGGAGCCTAACGGGACCTATGTGAGCCAGTCTCCTGGTCAGGGTTTTCATACCCTCATGCCCGATCTTAGCTTGATCACCCTTGATTTTTTTCCACCCACTACCTGCCTCGGCGAACATCGCTCACCGTGGCAACCTATCTGGTGACCTGCTCAGCCCATGTTCCAGCCAGCGTATTCTATGATGGTCGGCCACTTGCTCCAGTGGACGACCTCGAAACTCTACACCTAACCTCAGCATTGCCTGCCCGGTTACCCCACCAGACTGGTGCAGTGCTAAGTAGATAGCAGTGTTCGAACACCGACAGTGTATTTTTATCCTGTTCCCGTAATGGCCAAGTCTCTGTACCGTGTGGCAGAACTGACTGAACTGCTGCAGCATACACTCGACCCTTCACAGACAGCCGGATGTCGCGACGACGCCACAGATATCTCAAGTTGGCAAATGCCAGTCGAGCGTTTTGTATGCGCACCGACGCTTCATCTGTGATGCGTCCACCAGGTGAAATATAACTGCCCAGATAGCAAAACGTGTCTACTTCCCCGGTCAGGTTGAGGTTGGGGATTAGGCAAACCCAATCTTGGAGCAGCATTTTACACTTTGAAGGTGCAAAGCGCATGCCAAACATGCCTACACTATCACTCGAACTATCCAGAAAAGCTTACAACTTACCTGAATCTTCACTCAATAGCAGAATATCGTCTGCATA